ATGGGGATAACTTCTCTGGATACTCCAACCATCGCCAATTGCAACCGATGAGCTAAACAATGCACATATAATGCATACGAGCATTCTTTAGCAATTAGTGCTTGTAATCTGTTGAATTCACCACGCATATTACTCACCCCGTCATATCCCTGACCCCAAATGTTTTGAAAGTCAAGATTGTGACGAGAAAAGGTGGAAAATATTGCATCTTTTAGAGTTATTTCCTTTGTATCACACACATGTACAAGATCAAAGAAGCGTTCCTGGACAAAACCACAAATATCAATAAATCTCAAGTCGATACCCATTTGCTCGCTTTTCGATTGATCTCAGGCCTCATCAACAATAATGCAAAACTTTGCATCCCCAATTTCTTCACGAATCACTTTATTGATCATCGTTGAGATAACAAGTAAAATTTCCTTTTGGACAGATGGGGATGTATAAGAGGCATTTTGAGGTGCTTTGTCTAATACGACATTTGCAATATTTTCATTAAGTTTAGATATTGCACTAAAAAATTCAAGAAAATTTCTAAGATTAAAAGACTCTTTACTTTCATCATGACCTCTAAAAGTCAAACCTTGACCTGCAAGATACCGGGCAGAAACAATTGACGTTTCAAGCCGTAATCTTTTTTTGCAACTTGTTCAAAAGATTGTTTTTCAATAGGTGGTTGAACATGTTGTGTTTGATTCATTAGGTCTTCACATGATTTCTCGGCAATTTGGTGCAATGAATTATGATCTTTTCCAACTTGATCTAAATATGCACAATCATTTCCATTCCGTAATTTTTCTAGTTTCTGAACCCATCAATGATAAAGTATTCTGACTGTGATGTTTACCTGGTTTGTTGAACAAATAGCAAGGTAAACAAAATGAAGCATCACTCGTAGGGGAATATTCTAACCAATTTGGAAATATCTTGAACCACGACGCTTGAAAACGACGAGAATGCTTCTTAGACCCGCTCAAAGGATATTTTCCTTTGTATTGATGAGGACGATAGCTAATATAAGCTCGTCGAACTTCATCAATTTTATCAACGGGGGTAACTTGATATTGGCATACGTAACCCTAGATCACGTTCAAGTTTGTTGATATCAAACACCACCAGTTCAGTTATGTGTGATTTTTTAATGTGATTAACAACTTTCTCAACCGTTGGTGGTCCCCATTATCTTCCTCAATCTGATTATGTTTTCTCTTGAAAAACGAGTCTATTCTTGATGACTTTGACATATCCTGAAAATAAAAATAAACAATAAAATTAAAACTTAAAAAATGGTATAAGAATTCATGAATTAAAAAATGATATAAGCCTATATATGAACCATCTATTCTTGAGCAAATGGTACATCTCTTCAATAATTTTTTTATCAAACAGTCTAAGCTAGAGAGAATGAATTAAAACATTTAATAATTATGAATAAATACACACATTGAGTGCTAGTTTTAAATCCTAAATTCCTAAACTGACAAATAAATTTAAAATAAACATGAGCATAAATTAAAGTACTCACAAATATATGATCAAACACTCAGAAGAATCAAGAGATTGTTGAGTATGATTATTGTTGCGATCTTTTTTATTTTTTTATTTTTTCTTGCCTGTGTGAACTGAATTGCGAAAGAAGGAAAAGTGGAGAACTTAGTACTCTCGATGTGGTCCTATGATGTTGTGCAAGTTGAGGGCTTGATATATTTTTTAAGTGAACTAAAATAGTTTAGATTAGTTTGATTAATAAAGAAATAATATAATATTATAATAAGTAAAACGTGAAAGTTGGGCAGGCTTCTTTTAAATTTATCTCTAATGGGCTTGGTCCTAGCCCACCTAATCAAAGTCAGATTTTTAGTTAATTGGTTAAGAGAAATTTACTCACGTTACTATGGTTTTGTTAAATATTATTATTAATACGAAGTCAAAAACTTTTAATTACAAATACGTTTTCTTAAACAACTACCCACTACACACATAATTAATGATGATTTACTCTCTTGCATGAATATCGGGAAGCATGATAATCTTTTTCATCCATCATCATATCTTCTTCAACCTCATTGATCCAATCAAGGAAGGATTCGATATCTAGATTCCCACTGGAATCTTATTCCTTCTACACTCAACTATAAAACAAGAAAAAAATATGCTTTTCTCTCTCCATATCTTGGCTCTCGTGTATCCTCCTCACAAGAAACCAAAAATACTCCATCTCCCCCAAACACACAAATAAACTTATCCTGAAATTGAAGCTCCGAGTCGTTCCAAAGAAACTAAATCCCAAGGCGGTCGAAGATAATTTAGACGAAGACAAAAATTCTGTGTCTGAACACAAAATAAATATAAAAAAAGATGTCCGGCAACATGAAGGAGATGTGGGTTAGAGACGACAAGGGTATAACACAACACCTCCATCGAAAAAATCCTATCAATGGCGAGGATGTCGATTCGAAGCCTCTGGCCCATGGAGACGACCCATCGAAGCATATGTCGGCATCCTTCGGTGGAGGTGTCGTCAAATCGAATGAGTGAATCTACTGTTATCCACGGCGACATTGTTGTTGTCACTGGTATCGAGAAGAAGATGAAGCGCGCGGAGCAGTTGGGCATGCCGGTGTAGATGACTGAAGAGGAAAAGCTTAATTCCCGATATGTGCGTAAACATTTACACAAATTATACGTTAGTTATACATAATTTTTACTGTGTTTTTTTTTTAGTGCGGAAAGTTGTTGGTTGAACTTTGTAAATGTCATATAAAGTAGATATGTGTTGTTTATCTTATGTATAACTACATTCAATTTGGATTTTGCAGTCATTCAAAATTGTGTAGTATGTTTTTATCTCGTTTAGTGTGGTTTATCTTATGTATAATAATTGTTTATCTTATGTATAATAATCTTAGAGCACTGTCATATCATGTTTATTTGACGTATATGTATACAATATATATATATATATTGCGAAGAACAATTTTTTTCTTTCCAATCCATTCAAAATTGATATTATGTTTTCATCCCGTTTTAGTGTTGTTTATCTTATGTATAATAATCTTAGAGCACTTTCAGATCATGTTTATCTTACGTATATATACAGTATATATATACAAATCGCGAAGAACTGTCAGATCATGTTTATCTAACGTATATATACAATATATATATATACAAATTGCGAAGAACAATTTTTTCCTTTACAATCCATAAATTCTAGGCTTTAGATTTGTTTTTTTTTTTTTTT